CTGATGCCATTGGTAAGTGATTTACACTTTGGGAAATATTGTGTAATGGTTTAAAAATGTAGGCCGTGAGTTCAATCCCCAGTACTGTCTACAAAAAGGACATAGGTCAGGCACACCTTAGTTCAAATCCTGACTATTCTCCTTGTTATGTGACCCTGGAAAATGAAATAATTTCTTTGTGCTTCAGTTTCTATGTATGTAAAATGGAGGCAATATTTACTACAGAGATTTGTTTGGAAAATTAAAGAAGGTATAGCTTGTAAAGTAACAAGTGCAGTATGTTGAACTTAGAGAACGCTTTAAAAATATTAGTGTATTTCACTGTCCCCATAGTCTAGCTATTGTTGGCCAGAATAATCATTTTAGATTTTTAGAAGTTAAATATTCAGTGACCTATTTACTTTTTTCTGTATAAGTTAATAATATGAGTATTAAAAAGAAGTTGAAGATGTCATCTTTGTTATGTACATGTAACTATCAGGTCTTGAGACTTTACAAAAATAAAGTTTTTTAAAGATAATAACTTTCAGATAACAGTTTTTAAGCAATGAAATCAAGAGTGTATTTGTGTCCTTGGAGAGTTAACTGTTGTGTTAGTAGAAGAGTAAGGCAGAAATCTGAGTATGAGTTTTAATCAGTATGGATGAAGTAGGGATTAGTTAGAACATTATTCTGCTTAATTTATGAAAGAAAGAATAAACATTAGTAAAAGAGGTAAGTAGCATTAGAACTTAACAAAATCATATACTATATTTCTGATATTATTTATAAATACTGCTAAAGATTTTGGAGAGGAATTGTTTCTGGGGATCAAACTCAGGACCTTGCACACTACCACTGACCTATACCCTGACCCAATATTTTTTTTTCTCTAGCACTTACAGCTTAAACCAGAAACCCAGAAAACAAATAGTAGGAAATCCACAGTTACACATTAGAAAGCCATGTATGTGGCAGAAGACTTTCAGAAGGACTAAAGTAATTAATTTCTTAATGGTGTATCTGACTTGATGAATCAGAGACTATGGTAGGAAGGAAGTTAAAGATGAGCATATTTCACTGGCATCCAGAGATGGATGGTCACTGGATCCAGTTGTTTTGAATATGTTCATTGATCTATCAAAGACGTATTGGGTACCTGCCATACTGCAGGCACCGTAATAGGTGACTTAGATTATAAATACACAATATCCTTGCTCTTATGGATCTTACAGTCTAGTGAAGAAGCCATGTCAAACAATTGGAAGTTAGAGAAAAGAGAGAAATCAGAATCTTTTCGCAGCTTTTATCATGACTTTAGAAGTATCACCTCTTCTTCTATGTCTACAATGCCTAGGGAGTCAGTGTAGGCAACACCATGGCTTACATGCTAGGGAATCTTTAAGAAATCACTGGGCTCTATTATCATCTGCCCTTCTCCTTTGCCTCCCCTTCTTCCACATCTCAGTGGCACAGCATCTACTGAGTTAACGCTTGCTAACCACCTGCATCAGTAAACCTTAATTAGAAGCACCAATTTAATAGCAGTTTCTCTTTTTTTAAAGTATCTTAAGAGGACCAGTCTAGATTCTTAAATTATTGGATGCTAAAACAAATACTTCTGTATACTTACTCATCAACAAGAAGGAGGTTACTTCAAGGAGGACCATTATTTCAGTTTTCTCAAGTTGTGCTGTAATAGTTTTTGGCCTTAACAGGATTGAGCAAATACAAGGATGCCATGAAACTGACAACAGTCACTGGATATCTGAGTACAGATGAAGGACTTGATCCAGTTTAGTCTAGCCAGAGACAAACATATTCAAGAAAGAAACAGTGATCTGTAAGATACGAATGGCATCCATTGATGATACTTTCACTCACTAATTTGAAAGGGAAAGAAATAGTAACGTAACGTTGAACTTTTGTACTGTAGTGAACTTGAGAAACACATTCTGTAGGCAGCTTGAAATAAAAGATTGTTATTTTTCATAAATAAATCTGTGAAGAACATCAAGATATGCTAAAGATTGAGACTCTTAAGTAAACAATAATGTCATTGTATTATAGCAAAGTAGAATTGAACCATCTTTGAAGTATAAAAGAAAACTTACCAGTATGCAATGAAAATTTTGTTTCTAGAACAAATGGGATTAAATATGTTTATAAGAATTGCCATTTTGTGTGGGATAAAAGAAGTAGCATTTGTGATTTCCTCCAAAATTTGTTCATCAAGCAGTTTAATCTCCAGAGATTATGAAGGCTAATCAGAAGACATGGAAAAAGAGAACACATTTTCTGAATTTGTCAGGATTTAACATATGGGTGGCAGCTATAAAACCACTCCATGAATTTGGTTGCCATTGAGGTAGAAGGAGTTATTCCTCTAGGACAAAGAAAAACAAAGAGGAAGAAAAGAAAGAAAACGAAAATGGTAAGAGCCATAGTGTCCACCAGTCCACTTGACCTACAGTGGAGAGAATTGTTACTGAAAAAGCAGCTTAGACATGTCAAGGATATCTTGAGAACAGTTTCCCAAGATGATTGCTTCTCAGTCCATACATCCTTCTCAAGTTGTCAAAATGGTTTGCTTTGCCTGACTCCTCAATGACTCTTATCTTGGGAGAGTTGCTAGGAGATCCTTTTAGGGATGCTACATTGCCCGACTCCTGGGGACGTCATTCACATCTTACTGTATATGAACAGAGCCCCTTGGAGTCATTCAAGAGGCACATCTGCAGGACTCAACCCTTCCCACACTGCTCCCTACATATCAACAAGAAGTAACACCAGCTCTTTTAAGATATGGTAGTATACTGTGGAAAGACTGCCACTACACTTTTCCAGGAGGATACATGTTATCCTCATAACAAAGTAGCCTGCCTTTCTCCACTTTGCACCCCCAGGGCACTTAATAGGCTGTGATGTCAAGTGGGAGGAATTGGAGTTTCCAAGCCTGGGTGACAGTCTCTTTTAGTCCTCTTGCTCCTTCAAGCCTTTGGGAGGAATAAGATCCCTTTACGATACCATCTCAGACTGAGGTTCCAGTGTTAAGTAGTTGGGGTCTCAGAGACTTTGAATTGAAATCCGTAATAATACAGAAAAAAAAATTTTTAATCACCCATAATTCTACCATCTTATAAATGTCAGCTTTTGCATATGTGTCATGTCATTCATTGTTTGCGTACTTAAGTATGTATTCTTAGTTCAGACATACCGTACTACCCATTATGCATGAGATCTTTAATCATGTTTTAATGAATAACATGAAATGATCTTGAAAAGTATGGAAATACAATTTCTCATTTCTCATAAAATCCAGTGTATAGATTTGTGCTGTCTGAAACATAGTAGCTACATGTGGGGAATGAGCACTTGAAATGTGGCTAGTCTGAAATGAGAGATGCTATGAGTGTAAAATACACGTGAGACTTGAAAAATATAAAATAACTAATTTTTATGTTGATTAAATGTTGAAGTGATAATATTTGAGTCAAAGAAAATATCTTACTAAAAGTTTACCTATGTGATTTGAAGGTAAATGGATGCAGTTGGAGAAGTTTACCTGTACTATGTGGTTTGAAGGTAAATGGATGAGTTGGAGGACATCATTTAGGTGAAGTTAGCCAGGATCAGCAGGACAAAGGCCGCATGTTTCCTTTCATATGTGCAGGATAGATCCAAAAGATAAACATATACACAAAAACCAAACATATACACATTTATGTGTAGAACATGTTTATAACAGTGGAACTGCTCTATGAAACTTGGGAAGGAGGGAAAGAAAAAGAGAATGATAGCGCATCAACAATACAGAAATGTGTAACATCTGTGAAGGTAGAGGATATAAGGATATGTACCAAAAGCTGTTGAATAATAGGGAGTGGGAGGTAAGGGTAAGGAAGAGTAATGAAAGGGGCGAAACTGACTAAAGTACAAATAGGATACATGGAGCAACCCTTTGAACATTGCCTTTGGAAATAAAAATGAAAAACAGGACTGTAAAATAGGTAGCATGGGGAGGTTATTGTGGGAGGAGGAATGAAGGAGATGAAACTGAGGAAATATGGTTGATAGTCTTCATGTACATATATGAAATAGACAATGAAACCTCTTGCAATTGCTTTAAGTGGGATGGGGAGGGGTTGGGGGGAAGATGGAGGGTAATCTAAACAATATACATTGTAAGGCTATTGAGAATTGGCCCAATTAATCCTCCCATACAATGTATATATGCTAATAAAAATGAAGGGAAAAAAAGAAAGAGCTGTTACCAAAAACCGGCAAAAAAAAAAGAAAGAAAGAAAAACCAGATACTTTTAATGTTGAAGAAATTCAGTTTAGCAGTTTGTTCTGTTACTGTTCGTACAGTTAATATCATATCTAACACATATTTGGGTAACCCCAGGCTCACAAAGATATTAGCCTATTTTCTCTAGATGCTTTATAGTGTTAGACTCAATATTTTATATCTTTTGAGTTAATTTTTATATATGGTATGAGCTATGGATTGAAGGTCATATTTTTGCATATGAATATGAAAACATCTGAAAATTTTTGTTGAAAAGTAAGTTTCATCTTTAAAGAAAAAAAGTTTACCTGTTTCTTTTATCCATTTTAACGTGACTCACATTTTAACGTGGCTTACATTTCTGTTTTACTGTGTTGGTACAGATTATCACCAAGTGTGAGATCTTAAGATTGAAAAAGAAACTTAAATTCCAGCAATGAGGGAATGGTTAATTTATCTTTGGCATATTTGCTAAATAGAATATTGTACAGCCCTTTTATTTAGAGTATGTAGCCAAAAAAATAAAATGTGTGGTGTTATATCAAGTTAACAAAAAAAAGGCATGATTTAAACTTGCAAAGATATTTTGAAAAACTTAGAAGAATTTTTCTAGAATACTAACTAGCAATATGATCAGAAGGTAGAATTACAAATTTTTTTCTTTTCCTTTATTTTCAAATTTAAAAGACTGCCTTTGTATCATCACACTGAAATATATGAGCCATAAAATTTACTTTCTTATTAAAAAAAATTCCCTGGGTAACACTGCCTCACGGTCTTAGATCTGATAAGCAAGCAAACAGTGGTATATTAATTGTCAGCATGCTCAAGATGGTACGATGATTTTGTCCATGGTCAGGACAAGCCAACTGTGCCTTCACCACTGCTCAGTGGGAAGGAGAAAGTAAAACTCCAAGAGGAGAGCTGGTAATGTACATTGTGTGTGTAAAGGAATGAAAAGAGGAAGGAGGAGCATTTACTTATTTAATCACTTCAAAAATGTGAAGAAAGGATGAGAAAAGTAAATCTAAGTCTTGAGTAGAATTAAAGTTCTCATTTAAATGCTTGCTCTTACTTTTTTCTTCATTCCTAGGTTCATGATATTGCTATCTGAAGTTGAGAAATCGTCAGAAGAAATCACGGAGATAATGCAAAATTTAAGTAGTATACAGGTTTGTTGTGGAGTTTGCATGTAATTTTTCATAGTTCCACTACCCTATTTGAAAAGGGCAATAGGAAAGAACCTCCCACTTGGAGAATCCAGTCAAGTAAAGAGTTTACAAGGGATATGTTTAATTTACTTTTCATGGCAATTTCTTTGCTTCTGTGAATGTTACGTAAGCATGATATTTTAGTAGTGGCTTTTTCACACTAAAAGTAAATTTGTAGATATGCTTAATCTTTTTAGTCAATAATACATTTGTTTTGGTGGTACTACAGGTTGAACTCGGGCTTGTGCTTTCTAGACAGGTGTTCTACCACTCGAGCCACACCCCCAGCCCTTTTTGCTGTTAAATTATTTTTTTGGACAGTCTCAGGTTTTTTTGCCCAGGGCCAACCTCAGACTGCAATCCTCCCACCTATGGCCTCCAATGTAGCTGGAATCACAGTCCTATACCACCACAGCTGGGTTATTGGTTGAGATGGAGTCTCGTTAACTTTTTTGCCCCTGCTGGCCTCAAACCACAGTCCCCCTGATCTTGGCCTCCCAAGTAGCTGAGATTAATAATACATTGTTTTTATTCAGGCATTAGAGGGCTTGGAATAGGTGAACCTACCACAAAAGGTTCAATTTCCTAACACTGAGTTTATGTTTTTCTGTTTTTTCTTGTCAATAATCTTGTGGAGAAGTTACTTAACTAATTTAAGATGGCTTTCTTTTAGGCTTTGGAAGGCAATAGAGAGCTTGAAAATCTCATTGGCATCTCTCATGCGCCATGTTCCTTAAAAAGAGAAGTGGAGAGAACCAAAGAGCTACGTAAGGAAAATTAATGCTTCAATTTTAGGAAATGTAAAGATAAACTGTAATTCTTCTCACATTTAGATGTGATGAACTGTATGTACACCACTGCTGGATATGTGATAAAGACACTATTGCCTTTAAATAAGAAGCCATGCATCTTTTATCATGATATGTAATTTGGGGGATTCCTCTTTAACATGAAGGAAAAGATTGCACCTTAAAAACTGCTAGTAGACTTCTTTTAGGTAGAGTTCATTTTTTAATACATACTTATAGTATGTATTACTTTGAGTTATTCTTTCTCATGAAGTTATTTCTTCCAACTAATGAAAAATTTTCATCTTAATTCTTTTTTGTTTGTTTGCTCTTTCAGACAGTCTCTCTCAATGTAACTCACACTGGACTGGAACTCACTGTGTCTCCCAGGCTGGTCTCAAGCTTACAATCCTCCTGCCTCAGCCTCCAAAGAGCTGGGATTACAGGCATGTATCATCACACCCAGCTTTTTCATGTTAATTCTTAACAAGAGATTTCTTTTTTCTTTTAGTGACAAAAGTAACAAAACAAAAACTGCTTGAAAAGAAGAGTTCAGGACGTCTTCACAAAGGTAAAGCCTTGTGTCTTAGTTTATGACATTAAGAGATGCTTTCAGATCATTTCACCAAATAAAACTAATCATCATGTGGGTTTTTTTTTCCAGTGCTGGGGTTTGAACTCAGGGTCTTGCACTTGTGAGGCAGGCCAGAGTATATTATTTTACCTCATTTGATAAGCCTTATACTACATTTAGCAGAAGACCATGTGTAATGAAATCAGTTTCCCTGATGATTTGGATGTTTTAAATGACTTCTGAAATACAACTTTAAATTTTGTCTTTTTATTAAAATTTCTTTTTCAGAATGTAGACAAATGGGGACCACAGTGTATCAATATATCACAATTTTTAGTGATAGATTAGAAGGACATACAAAACATTAAAAATTACTTTGTAACCAGTGTCCTGAAAACTTAAATCATTAACAACTTTTTTCTTCTGGGGGAGGGGCAGAACTGGGGTTTGAACTCAGGGCCTCACACTTGCTAGGTTGGCGCCATTCCTGCTTGAGCCATTCCACCAGCCATTAATTTACCTTTTGATGCTTAATCTGCTATGAGCTCATGCCTCTGAGCATTTCACAGTATGGAAATCTAAATTAGCAGTTTTTAAGTTTCCAGATGAAATACATATCTGTGCCTCAGTAAGGAAAATAATCATGGACTGAAAAATATTAAAACCTTTAGAACAATTAAGAGTGATCATTTCGGGAGGGAATTACCTTTTTAAAAAATTTTATTTCCAGGCACCAGGCTCATGCTTGTAATCCTAGCTATTTGGGAGGCTGAAATCAGGAGGATTAAGGTTGGAGACCAGACCCTTTCTCCAAACCAGAGCAAAATGAGCTGGAGGTATGGCTCAAGTGGTAGAGCTCCTGCTTTGCAAGCATGAAGCAGTCCCCCCCAAAAAACTTATTAGCATATATCAGTTACACAAAGTAATGGATTTCATTATGACAACTTTATATATACAAACAATGTACTTTGATCATATTCACCTCCCCATTACAGTATCTTAACCCCCATTCCTTTCTCTTCCCTGAGAGTCCCCCTTCTACTTTTCATGTCTTCCTTATTGATTTATTTTTTCTCTAGATTCCTCATGAGAAAACATGTGATACTTATCTTTCTGAGTCTGACTGATTTTGCTTAGCATGATCTTTCGTTCTACTTATTTTCCCGCAAATGACATGATTTTGTTCTTTATGGCTGAGCAAAACCCCCCTGTGTATATCAGAGTGATCACTTTAATATTACCGACATAGATGCCACTCAGCAATCTCTACAAGTGGCTTAGGCCTTGACTAACCATATTTTAGGCTGCCATTTTTAAGTACCATTGTGCTATTCATTGGGTGCCAGTAATCACTGTGTTCCCAGTGCTAGGATCAACACATCTTTATAGCAACACTGCAAGGTTGGCATTGTAGACAAAAAGTAAAAACACAAAAAAATAGTAAGTAACTTGTCCAGAAGCACTGCCACTTAAGTTACAGAGTAGGGATTCCAACTAAAAATAAGCATGGCCTCAGAAACTCTGAACTTTTCATTATGTTATGTTGTTTCTTCCTAAAACAAACAAAATCATCTAGCTTCCAAATTCAAATATTACGTATATAACTAAAACTGGTTCAACCAATCTGTTAGACTAGGTTTAAGACTTTTAACAAGCCAGCAATGAGTGTGCAGTGGAAAGTACCAGAATTCCAGTCAAGTGGGTTGTGGCAAGGCAGTGGCCATGGCAAGACCTCTAAAGCTTTTATGGAAAGGGAGGGAAGCAGGTCCTGAGCCTTTCACTTGGGCAGCTAACTTGTAGTAGGATCCTAAGAACTTAACATGAGGGGTAGCTTTCTAGGAAAATGTTCAGGGTATCCTTTCTCCTACTTGAGAACTGTATAACTTGATCAGAACAAGCCACTGAAGTCTGTCCTAACTTGACAAGTTGTAGAGGATCATAATGTGAAATTTAAAGTTCATTATTTCCAACTGGAAATAATTCCTCTATACATTCTGTATCAGCAGTATGATTTTTTAAATCTGTAATTTCCTAGAACTAATTAGAATTAGGCTCCATGTAGTTGGCATTTACCAACTGTTTTGAGAAATGAGGAAGAGAAAAATCAACAAATGTGTGAATGTAAAGAAATTTTTCAAAAACATTGATACTTCATTAAAATCTTTTTCCTTCCAAGGGATACTTTTATTCTCTCAGTTATACATTATACCTCAGTTCTTTGTGTGCTCATGTAAGATCAACTTATAACTATTTTCTTTTTTTTAATGTTTTTGTTAGTATATGATAGTTATACAGGGGGTTTCATTGTAACATTTCCATATGTGTGTGTATGTGTGTATGTATGTATGTAAATATATATATATAAAATATACATATAAATATATATATATTTACATACACATTACCCCAGTTTGGTTCATCCCCAGCATTATTCTCCCTCTTCTCCTACTAAAATGACTTTGACAGGTTCAATGTTCCATATTCATACATGTATAAAAAACACCTCATCCATATCCACCCTCCCCCTCCCTCTGTCTCCTTCCCCTTGACATGACCTGTGTTTCATTCCTGTCTTTCATTGTTTTAGTGCCTTACAGCTATTTTCTATTATTTTAGGCAAACTGATTTGTCCATTATCAGGTTTTCCCAAATAGCAGCTGAGTTTTGTTTATTCACAGAGGAAATTATATCACTAAATCATGAAATAATTCTCTAAATCATATATTAATATGCCTTATATTAATATATTATATGTACATATTAATCATCTTCCATTTCTGTTTCTTAACAAGAGCTACATTAACTCTTTATGTCTTCAGAAGTATTCAAAACTTAATTAGCTTTTTTCAGCAAAATTGTTGCCTAAAAAAATAGATTAAAACTCATTTTCTTTGTAATTTGAGTTTGAGCTATGTTGTTTTACTGTGCTTTCCCACATCGTTCTCTGGTTTCTAATGTGTATATTTTTATTACTTTTGTTGTTAAAGGTGATGTACACACAAACACAAAGCACACAGAGAGAGAAATGTTTTTAAGAGGACTTTGCCAAATTTTTTTACTTTAAAAATTTTTTTAAATTATCATACATTAATAATGTTCAGGGATTTCATTGTGATAATTCCATAAATGCATACAGTGTACTTTTTAATCTGCAATGTAATGATTCTATTTTTTCATGCTTAATATATATTTTTGAAATTTTTATTATTATTTATTTAAATTTTTTTATTTATAGTTGTACCGGGAGTACATTGTGACACTTACAAAAGTGCTTACAATATATCTTTTTTAGATTCACCCCCTCCATCGCTCTCCTTTATCCTTCCTCCCCTTCTTAGAACAGTTTCAACACGTCTCATTGTCCGTTGTCGTACATAATGCTTCCACCATATTTATCCTCCTTCACTCTATGTCCTCCCCTTCCTACTGGTACCACCCTCTGGACGGGACTTGAAGTGGACGGCAAGGAATCTGTTTAGGGTGTAACACGCACACAAACCCACGGAACTGTCACAATAAAACTCCCTGTATAACCATCAGAAACAAACAAAAATGTCGTCCTTTTAAAAATGAAGGACAGGAAGGGAAAACAAGTCCTGCCAATTGTTTTTGAATCTCAAGTTAATTTGCTTTTGATGTTCCTTATTTTGAGATTTGGCTTTCACCATTTTATAGAAAATTTTACATTGTTTTTCTTTTACAATACTAGTACCCAGAATTGTTTAAATTTTAAAATGTTTTGTGAATCTTCACAACATTAAAAAGTACACAAAATAAAAATCAGCCCTATTGTATGTACTGGATTTGTTTGATTTGTTCATTTTCTCCTTCTCCTTTTTTTCCTCCTCCTACAGATTCCTTCAGATTCTTATCAAAATTTCCTAAAATGATTAAAATAGACAATTGCAGAAGAACTGCAGTATTTATGCTGTCATCATCATTTCAAATTAGTCTTTCAGGTTTTTTTTTTTTATTTCGGTGATAATTCCCCTTACTTAATATCACTTTCAGTCACTATTTCAGGAAGAATATAATTGTAAAAATAATACTCTAATGTTTTAAATAAATAGATATCTGAAAATAGATACATAAGACTTTATATGACTTATTCAAGAGAAATTTAAAGCATATACAATAACATCTAACACTAAAATGTTCCTAGTTTTTGGAAGAACTAGACCTTGTAACTCAGGGAATGCCTTGATAAAGCATGGGGATGAAAGAGGATCTCCTCTGCGAAGTTCAAGCTTCTTAAACAAAGGAAGGTTTCTTTCTTTCAGTTACTTAGGAAGTAAGCCTAACTTCACTTTCCTTAATAATATTGGCTTTATGACTATTAGGAAAATAATGAAATGAAAGGTTCTTTTTCTGTTAGACTTGGATGTGAATTTTCATAATTATTTTAAATTTGTTCTGCTGATGATTCAAAACATGCAACTATTCAGTGGGTTGAGACAGATGGATCGTCACATTATCATCACATGGTAAGGCGTGAAATTTATTTGCGTTACATAATCAACATCTACTTAAAACAACTTGAAACAAATATTCTCCAGTCAATAGATGGCATTCTAAATACTTGGCATTTTCATTTTTTCTAGAGATACTAAAAAATGCCACCATTGTTTGTCTATAATGAGTACTTCCAGTAAATAAACTGTTTTTGAAAAGAATGTAAGCAAATTGTAGAGCATTTGCCAAGATGTGAAATCTAGACACTTAGCTTCAGTCCAAAACATAGTTTATCTGTTTTGCGAATAAATGTGTAGGTTGCAGTATGCATATTTTAAATGAAATATAACCATCTGAACTTTACATTGTTCAAAAAAGTTGATTGTTTCAGCTGTTTATAATAGAAAATATTTCATAATTTCTAGCTGTGGTTAAAAAAGAACTATAATGTTCATATTTTCTTTAGTTAACTGTTCTAACACTGTAAAATTAATCTTGGCTATAGGATTTTAAAGTCATCAAATTCTTACGAGTACAGACAAATTTTAAACCCCTTCTGTTCTAAGATTATAAGATAGCTTGATATTGCCTTTTCATTCTAACCACCCACTGAAGTATTTTTAAGCATAAATATGTTGTGCTTTCTCCCACTTGGTCTTGAAAAAGTATTTATCATACCAGCTAAGTAACTTTAGTCCTAGAAGTCTACTACCCTTTGATTTTTCCTATTATATCTTAACATTAAGGAATATCTTTTTCAAGCAGATACTTCAACTTTAAAAGCACTGAGGTTTGAACCTTAGACATGATGAGGTTTAAGATTTTCCCTTATAAATTCCCCCTTAAGTCTTAACACTCTGGGTTCATCTGGAGATTTTTTTTAATGTAGCTATTAATTTTGGTAGCACAAATACTCATTAATGTATACAGCAGTCCTCCTCATTTGCCATGCGTGCTGTCCATGGATCAGACCTGTCCTGTTTATAATGCTAGTGCTCCTATTTACACTGTCCATCTCTGGAGAGTCCACTTCAACTGCTCAGAAATGCTTACTGGAGATTTGTGTATGACTTAAGGAAAAACAAACAGGTTTATTACTTTTCAAAACCTTTTCAGTAATTTTCTTTCATAATTTAAATTTTTTATACTTTTACTAAAATATGGTCATCTTTCTTTTGAGTATAATCAGTAAAAAAAAGTTAAAACTATACATTTGTATTCACTTAATAGCAATTATGTGTTTAAGAGGCGTAAATAACTTACTAGCAGACATTACAAATATCCAGGTGCTCTGTATGTGCTGATGACAACAAAATTGAAAAGAAAGACTGTAATAATTCTGACTGGTTTTCTCTGCAGAAGATATTGATTATTTGTGTGTGGTGAGAGATTTGGAAAATTCAATTAAAGGAGTTGTGCAAAGGTTTCATAAATTTTCCTTCTACAGCGTGTACACAGACATTGTTGTGTATTAAATCAATGCAGCACTTCACAATATATTTTCTTTGAAACATAAAAATAAATAACATTTAAACAGTTCTGCTTAC